GAGGTCGCTTCAGCTCCAGTGAATGCGTAGTATGCCCTTCTCCGTTGCCCCTCCCCTCCCTTTTCCCTACTACGCTTAGGAGCCATGACACAGATCGTCCTCTCGTTGTCGATCCATTCAAAAATATTCAAAAATCACGATTTGGACGAAAATTTCAGTTAGCCAATCAAGCCACGACCGTTGAAACATTTAGCCAATCCAAATTCATTGCGATGAAAGGCTGGATAAATAAATGGCGAATGGATTGCTCTTTGAATAGCCTTCGCCCCCCAGTGTGACCTTTCGAACGTGTTCGAACCATCGACGGCTCCGCTAGTGCATTCCACAGCGCAAGATAAGGGAGGTCAGATCACAGAAATCACGACCTTCACCTACCTACCTGTGGAGCTCAACAGGTTTCCGAACCAGCGTGCTCTGGCCGACCTCGCGTAATGGCGACCAGGATGACGACGACATGGGTGAAGACGCCCCGTATGTGGTACATGCGCCGGCAATTCCACAAGACCCAAGGTTAAATGGCTAAACCAAGCAAGAGCGTCGCGTTTTTATGCGGGCGTACCAGAAATATGAGGCGCAAGTTGACGCGCTGAGACAGCTGGAGCGAGACCGTTCGTTATGCCGGAGTCCGCGTGTATGAATGGACCTTTTACCAAGCGGTCCGTGGCGCTGTCAAATCTTTAAAAGAAGATTATTTTTTTGAAAATTTAAATTTAGCGGAGTCCGAATGGATTGCGTGGTTTAACGTGGCGTTCGAAGAAGAGATCCGTGATCTGGACACGCTGAAGAAACACCTGGAATAATAATAATACGATCCGATTCATCGTAAAGTTCCCCTGGACGCTGAGTCTCGTGTTGGCAAGATGCTGGACGAACTCATGAAGGCCCTGGAGCGCGACAACCAGGAGTGGATCTTCTACGAGGAGGGCAGGGTTGTCGTGGACATTATGGTCAAGGCGGTGCGGCCTTCGATGCCACAGTCTGCCGTAAAGAAGCAAATTCAACTGCAGCGCAACAAGCCGTTGCGTACGGATGTGTTTCGCTTCGTTCGTTTGCTGCGGACGTTCGCAGCTGGTTACCAAATGTACGGTGGGGTCGAGGACGAAGAGAAGTTCTCCAAGTTTGCAAAAGACCCTGACAGCCGTGGCCAAGCGCCGAAGAGGCCTGACGAGAAGAGGCCAGACGGGGGAGCAGGCCCGGCGAAGCCTTGGTCCTCGGGCGGGGTGGAAAGGCCGGACGAACCGCTCGCCCCTGCGAGGAAGCCGGCTGCATGTCTGCAGTGTAAGTCTAGTGGAAAAATCCAACTAATAATGGGCAGAAGCTTGGCCTTGTAGATGTTGTCGACTTCGTTTAAGGTAGATTTGTCCACGAGGTCTGTAGCTTGTTCGATAAGCAGGGATAAAGTTTGAAAGTGGTAATTGTTGTAGTCGACGACCTTGGCGTCGGGATGGGAAAAATCCTTAACAAGTACTTCTTGGAGATGCTTCGAAATGCGCTCAACCCGCTTAAGTGCGTGGTACCTTATCTATGATGGGCCATATTCCTTTCTTACAGTCGAAGTACACACCATCAACGAAACGTGGTCTCGCAATTGCTGTCAAGAACATTACATTGAGCACAAAACGGTTGTTCTTCATTGGGAGTTTTGGCGTGCTTTCCCACGGAGTCAGGTATATACGGCTGCGTACCTTGAGAAGGAAAAACGACTTCTCGTCGAGAAGACATGGTCCGTGAACTCGTCGAACTTCAAAGCGTCACCACACTTCACCGATAGGCTCAAACAGTAAGTCTCTCCTTTTTCGCGTCATCATCCAGTAACTTGGTCGTAGCTAACACAAACTCCACACGCCAAAGCGGATTATGAATCGTTGTTTTAGGGACATTGAGTGCAGTGGACATGGTCGCCAAGCTTCGTCGTTGGTACGGTCTGAGGGCGGCAACTTTCTTTTGGAATTCCTCTACTGTTTTCGCATCGCGTCGATTTCACCTCCAGTGATCATCTTGAGGATTTTCTCATCCCTCTCGACCAAACTCGTCGAAGTGTGTGCGTGCTAACACTCTACTCGTCAGCAAGACGTTTAAAGTCGCCATGTTTTGGCTTGATATTGACGACATTCTTTGAGAGTTTCGCGAATATTGCGATCGTCTGCTTTTCATCTAGATGTTTGTTCGTCATGGCCGGTTCGTCAATGGTGAGTCCATTTAGTTAATGGTATACTGTATTCAAGTCATAATTAGGAAAAATTCAAAACGCACTAGTAATTGCGTTTTGGCGCCTAACTTGACACAAATGGCGGCAAACGAATCACCTTACGTTGTTCTATCAATTTCAACCACTCACATTGCCAAAAACTATTTTCCCTCCTTTTGGGGACCGCTCAAAGTCATAGTGGACAGTTTAACTGGATCGGAGTACTGATTTCCCTCTGAGTTCTAAATGGCTCAAGTGTGATAATTTTTATAAATAGGCCTGGGCTCACAAGCAAGCCCAGGCCTATTGCTGTGAACTTGACATTCCGTCGGCCCAAAGAATTACGTTTTCGAAAGGCTGGCTCTACAATTTTCAGCAAAGGCATGGTCTCTCGTGCAAGACCCAACACGGAGAAGCAGGGTCGGTGAAATCAGAAACTGTGCGTTAAGGCCGCAAGGCAATGATGAACGTCACTTGCGCCTACAACGCAAAAAACGTGTACAACATGGATGAATCTGCGTACTTCTACTGCATGTCGCCGCATCGTTCGATCACCAGAAGCCGCGTTCCAGGGTCGAAGAAGTAAAAAAAGCTGATAACCGCCGCCCTTATCACAAATTCCGATGGATCCGACCGTATCGACCCACTGTTCATTGGCACGGCAGCTCGCAATGTTTTCGTGGCCGTTCAGCTGAAGATCTTGGTTTCAACTATCATGCCAGTAAGAAAGACTGGATGACTGGCACGATTGTCAATTCGTTCCTGCCATCGTTGAGCAAACGAATGGTCGAAGAAGACCGCAAGATCCTCTTGCTTGTCGACAATGCACCCTCGCATTCGCTCGATGAAGACGTCCTCCTAGACAATGTCAAGATTCAAATGCTGTCGAAGAACACGACCTCGCACCTGCAACCCCAAGACGCCGGTATACTCGCGGCCTACAAGGCTAAGGTCAAGCAGCGCCAATTGCAGAATGCCTTGGGTCAAATCGATTTGGTCATGAGAGGACGACAAGAACGATTGTACGAGGTACCTTTGGAAGAAGCGAGGACCTGGGCAAAGGAGGCTTGGAGATCCGTGACCCAGCTCACTGTTGCGAACTGCTGCGCTTGCACCGGCATTGTCGATGACGACCTCTCTGCCTTTGGTGAACAGGTGGCTGAACTGCATCTCGCATAGGTCATTGGCCACCATCAATAACTGTGATAATTTGAACTTGTGAAAAATAATATTTTGTGTAGATTTATAGTTCTTGCCCGTTTAGAACTCAGAAGGAAATTAGTAGTATTCATTTAACCTCCATGTCAGGATTTCAACATTTTTGAAAAATAAAAATACGACAGTCAGTGCATCATCACATAGACTACAGTCTGTCCGGAAACTATAGACGCAGGTGTAATTCGGCAGTTTCGAGTTGTTAGAGAGTGAATTCTTCTAAGCCCTTTTGACAACGCATGTTAAACGAAACAAAACCGTGATAGCCACATGACCTGCAACCAAAACCGAATTGACAAAATCAAAAAATTGATTTTTGAAATATGGCGGTGTCCATAAATTATAGACGCACTGAAATTTCGACATATATCTATCCATTCCTGCCCCTGCACGAATGATGACTTCAGCCATTCTTGTAGGCATGTCATTTA